CAATTTATTCAATGTCTCATCGTCGACTTTTTATCGGATCTTATCGAGAACTTCTCGTACTGCAGATAGACGAAATTTGCAATTCATTGCTTTTGCGTTCAAAAACCTACAAGAATACAGCAGAATAATTTAGTATCAAGTATATATCCGTTTGACGACAAAATGTCTTCAATTAAAATTCATTTAACACCATTAACCAAGCTTTCCTAAATAAATATTTTTTTTGACAAATATTAAAGCATGATGATCTTTGTTGTTCTTTTTAGGAAGGAGTTCTTAATGTATTAAAAGTAGAACATAGTGTGTTGACAAAGTTCTTCATAACCACATGATATCACCATTAACCAAAATAATGGATCAGAAAACATAATCTAAATAATACCAAGAAACGGTTTGACTGTCCTTCTTCTTCGACTGCTTACGGCCGCCCTTCGCCTTTAGCGTTGCCTCCTCGCATTCGGGCGGATCACCCTCTCCCAAATCCGCAACATTCGGCTCTTCCAAGCTCTTCGTAGTCGCCTCCTTATCTTCCATTTTACTCTTCCCTCACAAAAGCAATCAGAAACCCTAAACCCTAACCTTGAAAAGGAAGACGATGAAGGAACCCTAGCGGCGCGCGAATCCCTGTATTTCGAATACGATTTCTTACTGTGTTGGTTTTTTAATTTTTACTACGATTTAATAGGTTATAAGGGGTGACAAGACGTTAAAGTCTATTTATACACGTGGTGGGTTTTAAGGGGTTAACTAGGCTTTAGCAGGGAGAGGTGTTATCGTAAAATGATAAAGCCCATTACAATTTTTGTATTAGAGTTATATATCTTATACCACTGACTACGACTAATTGAACTCACCAAAACTTTTTTCTTTTAACAATTTTTTTTTTATAATTTCTCCTCATACAAGTAAATAAACTTAATATGCTGATTAGTAATAGTTTTGTTAGAAAAATAACAAAATCTAAATTTTAAATCAACGTGCAAACTATCATACTTCACCATTTTTTCTTTCTCTTTCTCCTTTCCCTCTCTTCTTCTCCTTTCTTGTCTTCTGTTTTTTGCCTATTTCCTTCTCTATTTCTCCTCAAGAAATATGAAGTTATGGTAGGCTTGGCAAGTTTATATTATATAACCCTTTTGCTATAATTAAATAATTCTATATTTATTACTATATCATATGTGCTATGTAAAAACGGAAAAAATAAAAAAAATAAAATAATAATAAATTGAATGGGTGTAGGAATAGATATCTCTTCAGTTACGATATAAGAGGAAAAAATAAAAAAATAAAATAATAATAAATTGAAAGGGTGTAGGAATATGTATCTCTTTGGTTACGATATAAGAGTTTTATCTCTTAGCCTATCAAGCAGAACAAGCGAAAGTTAGAGAGAGAGATCGAGAGAGGAAAAAACTATCGTGCTCTAGCTAAGGAGAAGAGGAAGAAAATTGTGTCCTAATCGAAGAAGAAAGGGAAGAGGTAAGGGAGAACTATCCCGAACAACAGGAAGAAAGGGAAGATTGTGCGCTGCTCTATTGGGTTGCATCGAGATCGCAAGTGAAGGAGAAGAGTGAGAAGACATGATCTGCAGTGCTCGCGTGCAGCAAGGAGAAGGGGAAGGGACGAGGGTTTTGAACTCCTTGCAGGATCAGTGCAGTGCCCTTACAGTGCAAAGAAAGGAGGAGGCGAGTCTTTTGGTTGCTGAAGGAGAAATATTGACCGAGTAAATAGATGAGGTAGGAAGCCTCTATCGAGTTGGACGCCGTGTATATAGGAACAAAAGGAAGAAGAAGGTGCTCGTGCGTGCCGGAAGAGACTCGCGTTCGAGTTGTAGCGGCGGGTGGCCAAATGATTATAAGATATGAGTTTTAATTAAAAAATCTTATAAGCATATATATGTTTGTATAATATGATATTAATATTATGTTCATTAATTAATTGGATATTAAGGAGGAAAAATTTGTTTTGGTTTCGAGCAGAGAAGAACTGACGACGCGGAAGATAGATGTAAGATTTATATCTCCTTTAATTTATTTATATTAGTATTTTAATTTAGTGCCCATTATGTGGATATTAATTATTATGAGTAGAAACTAGTTATTTGATTGGGAAGTGTGATTGTGTTTTGACAATGAAGAATTTTTGGCTTTGCTAGAAGAAGTGAGGTAAATTCTACAATTTTATTTTTATGTCTTCTAATTTAGAAGATATATACATATCTAAATTAATGCGCATTTTGAAAATATTTTAGGATTTTGATCTCATGTCAATAAACTGGTAAAAGACTAGCAAGAAGTTAAGTGGAGGATTAAGCTAATAAAAATGTTTCCTAATAATTGAGGTGAGTAATTATATATCTATATTGTAATAATTATTTCTGTTTCAAATTATATATTTGATTTCATGTATGCCCTAGTTCTGCAATTGATTATTTATATTAGCATACATGATAGATATTCATGTTAAATAACTTTACATAATTGTTTAGCCTCTAGAATTTTAGTAAATGTGCATATGTCAGTTGATTTTATGACTTATAGATATTGTAAGTTTGCACTTATTCATCAACAGATAGAGGTAAAGTGTTTCATAAGAAAAAAATGCATGCTGTGGAAGAATGAAATATCATATATATGAATGCTTGTATGTGCATGTTTAAAGGAGCTCACCCCTAATGGTACAAGATGGGGACGCCTGTGTACTCACACGCGTAGAGGTTTTTCTATCATCATAGTTATTTGTGATAGATTACTAACAGTTGTGCTGACTGGATAATATCGGTCATTGGTGTATAGAAAGAGCTTACCATCGCAAGACAATTGTGATGTTTACATCGCTAATCGTTGTGACGACGAGATAATTTCAGCCAGAGGCTAGTATGGGCCTTTTTACTTGAGACAATTGTGATATTTAGATCGTTAATCACTGTGACGACAAGATAATATCGGTCAGGAACGTGTTAGGTTATGTTGAAGGTGATCTTCGAAGAGACAGTGTGTATGCTAAGAGTATAAAATAAAAATAAAGAAATACATATAGAGGATTTGAGTATTTTTATTTAGAAAAGTTCATTGATATATGTATTAGCATATATAGTATTTCTTATAGAAATATAAAAGACTAGCATGCATATTGATTTCTTTTTCCTTATATTACTGTTGTTTAGAAGTGAGATTGCTCTTGTGTTATATTTAGATAACTTATTATATTGCTTTAATATTCTTGTAGGTTTTAATCTTTTGAAAAACAGGAATAGAAGAGAATCGAATGTTTACAAGAGGTGAGAATAAGTGAATAACAAACAGAAATGCACAAATTTATACTTTTTAATTTTAATTTCTTTCTTTAGTGGGTCTTTCATATATATTTGAATATTAAACAGTTAGTTTTAGAAATAGAACATCATAGATTTGATTTCAACCATCTGATCGTTTGTTCTTATCGGGCCGGGTTGTGACATGCTATCTCCTAAATCCAATTTCAGCCCTTCAGTTTTCATCAGCCATTGCATAAAAGTGAAATTCAAAATTCCACTCATACGTGAGTTGATGAACAGTGAAATTGAATTAAAACCATAGGAAAACTTTATTTAAATGGGCACTAATTCCATAACTTTCTCATCTTTAAGACTTATCATATAATTTTATATATCAAATTGATTATTTTGATGTGTAGAATGTAATATAATGATCAGTGGTGATTTTATAAAATTTTGAAAATTTGGTTATCAGTTATTTAGTGTTTGTTGCACTAATACAGTTATACCTCATCAAAAATTGGGTTTTACACAAGCCTTCTTTGCTGCCCTTGAAGCTTAGCGATCTTATGATTAATCAACAGTTCATTAAATAGAGATTTTAACTGTGTTGCTGAGAACGAAAGATCTTCAGAGGGAGAAGTTTTCTTCATTTTACATAATTTCAGTGAATCATGTTTTTTGCTGTACAAATCGAGTAGAGTAAAATGAAGAAAACATCTATCTTAACATTTTGTAGGAATGAATGAAGGCTGATTCAGGAAGCTGAATCAAAACTGTTGTAATAAGCTAATGATGATGATAATTCTATTGATATGAGGCTCAAAGAAAATTGGCTGTTCTCTTTTCTACCCTATGATGCACATATGTAATCGTGTACTTTTAGAGAGTTCATGCTATCTTGAAATTGGAATTCAAATTAGCTGGACTTCATCTATAACTGTAGAGGGTAGGTTTAGGTTGTAAGTTCTTATCTGCAATATAAATTTGATTACTGAAGATTTATAACCCTGAAAAAGGCATTTAAATATTCATGCGTTGTTTGCGTAACTAATTGGCATTCCCAAAATGGTCATACGGTGAGTAGACCACTGAAGACTACTTCACTCATCGTGCACCATTTTTTATACATTGTCTCTCATTTATAATTTAAACTATATGTTATCTTATGTCTTCCAAGTAATGTCTTTCGTCTACATGCAAATATGCTTGGTCTTCATAAGCTTTATTCATATTTTCTTATATGAACAGTACATTTTGTTTGGTTTTGCATACAAACTATATGGTTAGATATGTAAACATATAAGAATTGTATGGTTTGCATGTAAATGCCCTTTAATATAATGATAGAACTGCAGAAAAATGAGCTACTGGAAATGGAGTTTGTTCATATTTTTGTTACTTCTATAGAGCTGCATTGGAAGAAGCATAATGCATGCGTAAACCTCTTTCATTTGGAACTTTATGTCGGATTCTAGAAGACAAAAAAGAGGTTTTTTTTTTGTATCCACTTATTACTTTCACGATTCAGAGAATTTAGAGTTGTTTCCTAGTTTCTATTTTGATATGGTCTAAATTTTTCGTCCAACATCTTGACTCCTAGTAGCTGCTTCAATTTGATTTATAATTAATATTCTCAAATGTGTTTCCCTAGTACCACGAACTTGAAATTTTTTAAACTGTCTTGGCTTGCCAAGATATACTATTTAGCAATTAGAATGTTAAAAATAGCTTGTTATTGAAGGCATGAACCTCCGGTGCTGGCTGGAAATGTTTCAATTCTCCACATTGAATCTGATGTCATAACCGTATGCAAGCCTGCTTCTATTCCAGTAAGTAAATATATTTAATGGCACTCTTGTAGTTTCTATACATCAAAATCAATGTCCTTTATTTAAACTTATTTTACTTCAGTTTTACTGGATACTATAGCAGGCTGGTTTGGTGCTTAGCACTTGAGTATCATTAGCATTTCCATATGGGGCAATTCATTGACGGAGATCCTTGATAAATTTTCTTATGCATTCTATGACTATTTATGACGTTGGGGATCCCATTTTTTACCATGAATCACAGAATTCCATGATTGTAGGATCAAGTCAAGATGGGTTCCGGCCCGGTAGTCGCAGCAGGAGTTTCCCACTATTTCGGGCTTCATTGGCCATGTGGACTCTTATTTCCTTTTTTTTTAATTTCTAATTAGGGTTTAATTTGTGTCTTAGTATAAGTACGTTATTTTAGACCTGATTTGAAGGCTTTGGTTTGTTTTTTTGTATTTTGAAGATTGTATTTTCTGATTTCTGCCCTAAGGAGTGCTATATCATATTCCTCTTGCAAGTATTGTGTTTGTAGCTTGGTCATGAACAGATTGTGGATCTCCCTCATCTTCTTTACGGCTCTGTTTTACTTCTGGTATCATTGTTCTCCATCTGGACAGCTGTCAAACTGCTGTTTCTTCGTACAGCTTGCTGCCCAACAACACTTTTTGCCATTCCTTGACCTTCATCACTTTTTTCACTTCCGCTGCTCATCCTACAACTCTCCTAAACCTTCTTTGGGTTGTGCCACATTTTAAACAACTCTAGATCGGTGTCAATTTTGACATAAAACTTTGATTAGAATCTTCTTCTAACTAGGATACCTTTATCCATTCATTTAAACAGGATTTATATGGAAGTGTATATAGATTGTTTTACTTACACGCATTCAAATGAATTTGATTTTTTTGCAAGTATTGTGTTTGTAGCTTGGTCACGAACAGATTGTGGATCTCCCTCATCTTTTTTACAGTGCTGTTTCACTGCTAGTATCACTGTTCTCCATCTGGACAGCTGTCAAACTGCTGTTCCGTCATACAGCTTGCTGCCCAACAACACTTTTTGCCATTCCTTGGCCTTCGTAACTGTTTTCACTCCCGCTACTCATCCTACAACTCTCCTAATCCTTCTTTGGGTTGTGCCACATTTTAAACGACTCTAAATCGGTGTCAGTTATGTCATAAAACTTTGATTAGAATGTTCTTCTAACTAGGGTACCTTTATCCATTCATTTAAACATGATTTATATGGAAGTGTGTATAGATTGTTTTACTTACACGCATTCAGATGAATTTGATTTTTTTTCTTTAATTTCACAAGGCTTCTGATCTTTCCTGCTAAAAAATAAAATAAAAAGTTAGATGATTGTATTATATTGTTCTCAATAGTGGCCTACAGTATGCCATATTTCAGTAGGCTGATAAAACTTAATTGTTGGGCTATGTGGAAGTAACAATTGTTCTTGAAATCCCTCATGTATAATAATTTAGATGCAATTAATGAGATTTGATTGTTTCTCCACATTATTATATATCTTTGATGTTGAAAATATGACCGCTAAACATATCAGGAGGTAAATATAAAAAACAAATTGTTTGATATTAAGAATCTGCTTAACTAATGTCAAAAAGAAGTTTTACCTTTGAGGCCTTTGGTCTTATGTACCATGGATTTCAAAGGGGAGGGTGAAGAAGAAGGGTTTTTTGAAAAACTCGAAATAAAATGGTTGAGAAAGCAAGAAAATTGATAAGTAAAATTCTTGGAACGATTATAGATTCTCTACCCTCCTCTTCGTTTCTTCCGACTACCAGTTCACCTAATTTTTGTGCGGAGACCAAATGAATCAAAGAGGGTGATTATATAAGAGATACTGTCATGATGCCGAACTAGGGTGTTGGGGAGCTCATCAAATTTGGAATATGGGTAGCGCCTCAGTCCTGTGATAGCGTTGCAGCGCTGCATAATAAAGAAGCAGTGCTGCGGTGCTCAATGGTAGTGTCGTGCTGTTGGTTAGGTTGGAGGTGACACCCTGTTACTCGGGTAGGGCACGACAATGCTCAGTGCCAGTTTCACACACCCTAATTTTTCTTAGTCGACTTAAGGCACATAGTTCAAACTAAACTAATTTAAAAAAAATATTACAAACATTCAAGCAACTTGAACATTATAAAAGTTGATTTGTCTCTCAAAAAACACTTGTTTTAATGCCAGATTTTCAATTGGGATAAACATTACAAACATACAATTAGTATAATTACACGCACCCCAGACATAGTTATGTTGAGTTCTCTGCAAATTGGCATAACTATGCGGGGAATTGGCGTAACCGCGCATATGTATTGGTGTAATTATGTCGAGTTTTGAACAGTTTGGACGCCTTAATGCTATATAAGGAGATCATGTGAAGACTTAGGATTACTTTTGGCCTTGGGGGCTTGCCTCTTAGGTTGAGGAGAGGTTTTTGGACTCTAGTGTTTCTCCTTAGGATTTGCTCGAGAATGTTCTTCTTATTTTTTCTTTTTTCATATCTTTTTCTTGAGAGTTTGGAGAGATTGTCTGGAGAGATTAAGTGCATTTGTACGAGGGAGTGTCGGCGTTTAAAAGGGGGGGGAGTTACGTTTG